AGCCACAAGCCAGGCTGATGGCTGCCAGTATAGCGGTGGTGGTGAGAGCCTCTCCTGTCTCCTCAGCAGCGCTAAGGATTTCCAACTGCAGTTTAGGCCTGCTCCCCACTGGCAAGTGGACATCCCCCAATGGCTGCCAGGCTGCCAGAGGGATGTCTAATTGCCATCTTAGGCCCAATCCCCCAGGGAGCGGGCCTAAGCCAGCAGGTGGTCATCCCCTAGGGGTCCCAGACTGTGAGAGGGCACAGGCTGGGCTAAGGGACCCCCTCTCCCTCCTGAGTGCACAAATTTTTGTGCACCGGGCCTCTAGTCTTATATAATTCTGTATTATCAGAGTAGAAACTAATGAGAATGCATTGATTTTTAAATTTTTAAAGTGATATAATAGAAATAGGCAAAGGAGCACAGGGAACCCTGGGTTCTGGAAATGTGCGTATGCCTCTGATTGGTGGTTACATGGATCTGTGAGGGCACAACTGCATTGAGCTGCTGCTTGAGCTTTGTGTGCTTCAGGTAGTTTACATCCATTAAACACCATCGTTAGTCCTGCCACAGGGCTAAAACTGAAGGCTCTGAAGGCGGATATTAGAGTTGAAGAGTTACCTGCACCAACACAAAGAACCTTTTCTTCCATCTCTTCCAGACATTCTTGCCGATGGCCCATAAATACCTAAGGGAATGGGAGAAGACACAGTTGCATTAATGCTTGTGTGTGAGTGCATTGTTCAAGTTGTCCTTAAACCAGCGGTCGCCAACCTTTCGGACCTCATGGGCCACTAACACACTTGACCGTGAGGCTTGGTGCTCATAACCAAGGACATGCACACGGCCCAGAAAGAGAAAGCAGATTCGAGCTGAGCGAGAAACAGCAGCCAAGTCACTTCCCATCCTCAGACTGACGGGCCCCAGGAGGCACCCTGAGAAAGTTACATTGTGACTTAATTTGTGCACACGCTAAAGTCTTTTAGGTCGGGGAAACTCCTAAGAGGTGTGGTGCAAAGAGAAAAAAATTTGTGCTAAATCTCACAACTACCAATTCTTTCACCTCTTAGCAAGTTTCATTCAGGAAAACCTTCCCTCAGGTTCTTTTTTTTCTTCTTTTTTTTTCTGCCAAAGGCAGGTGTATGCATTACAGGGAAGAAGTTGGAAGAAGTTTCAAGTCGACAGAGAAAGTCCTCCCTGTACTCCTCCCCTTTCTCCAAATTCTCTTCTGTTGGTGGAAATTCATCTTTATACAGAAACATGAACTAAAAAGGACCACAGAGGCAAGGTCAAAGCCACCGGGAGATTTTAAGACCCGTGTTGCTAGTTCACTCAGGAATTACCCCAAGGGCCTGCGGATTGTTACACGTTGAACTGGCGCTGATCCAGGAAGGGAGGCTGGTGGTTTTCAGACTCTGCTAGGCCAGGTGAGGAGAGAGCTGGTCAAACCCCAACACTTCCAAACGCCCCAGCCCAGGACTGGCTTCACCTGCTGGCAGAACCAACCGGACAACTTCCAAACCCTCACATCACCAAGAACCAGACAGCATTTCCGCGTGGAGCAGAGAGAACAATGCACCTAATTACAACTGAGGCTGATTGACAAGTTTCAGGGGCCCTGGGAGTGGCTGGGGGCCCAAATCTACTCAGACCTTCAAGCCAGAACCTGGGAGTCTCCTGGCGCCGCTGTTCTCTCTTCCTTGCTCCTCGGTTGCCAAGTGCAGCTGATTCACCTGCTGCAAAGTTCCTCCTCTGCTCAGCCCTCCCTTCCCACCTCCAACACGTCAGCCCGGGCCACAGGTCCGCGCCCAGGGACAGTGCAGGGGACAGTGATTTTCTCCTCCTGGGCCTGGGATAGGGCCACTGTCTGCAGTGCTCTCACGCCTCCCCCGCTGAAACTCCAGTGGGTCTCCCCATTTTCATGACGGGAGCCCCAAACTCTGGCCGCTCACATTCCATCATGACTTATCCCATATCTGCCCACCATTTATCCTATGATTCACTTGAAAGTTTAAGTTCACTTATTTAACATGAATACATTTATTTTGAAAGAAAACTTTACATTGTAGCCTTGATACATTATGCGGCACACATTAAAATGCATGAGGACCGGCTTAACTAATACATGCGTGTCTGTGCATCAGGAAGCGATCCTGTGTGCCCTTAGTGGTGTGAATACCCTCGGGGAAGCCTTCGCCTCTGGAGACAACATGCAGCATCCTGACCGGCCTGGTAGCGCTTCCTATTCTGGCCTCAGTGAACTCTCCAGGCTCAGTTGGTGCCTCGTATTGTCTGTAATTCCTGGCCGCGTGGCTTCACACCTCCATCTGTGACTTTGCACAGTTACGCTGCCTGTGTGCCTTCTCCCCGCTCCTGAGGTCAGAACTCACATCTTCCTGGTCTCCATTCTTATTGATGTCACCGCCTCCTGGGCCGCATAAGTCAATTCTGTGATGGTAGCAGGCATGTACTAGTACAGAACTGGCTTTTATACTCACACCCGCTGGACTGTGAGCTCCTGGAGGGAAGGAACCTGGTCCTTTCTTTCTAAGTTTCTGGCACAGAAACCTCTCCTTTTCAATTTCTTAGTGCAGTTCCTGACAGACCTGCCCCTTGAACTGTGTGGGTCTACCAATACACAGATTTTTTTTCCCCCAGTAAATACTGTCTGTCTGTCGTATCTGAGGGTTTCACATTTGCAGATTCAATCAACAGTGGATCAAAAACAGAATTTTGCATTTCCAACTGCGGTTTCCCACCCTCGGATTCTGGCGAACTTCAACCCTAGATGAATCTGCGGATGGGAAGGGCCTGTGCGGGGGTTCGGTGTCTAACTGCAGAACAGTTGAGGGGTCACTGCGTATGGCAGGTGGTCAGTAAGTATTTGCAATATTTTAATTGGTTTTGAATGCCATGTTCTTGGGAAACCAGAGCAGGCTTTCTAATGATTTCTGATGACATTTAAAAATATCCCATAGAGACGTGTAATGCATCACCAAGTCTTTCGAGTTCTCCTTCCAAAGTATATCCCGCCTATTTCTACCACCACTGCTACTCCCCAACTATGTCACCTCCACCTGGGCCATGGCAATAGGCTCCTCCCTGGTCTCCCCTCTTTCGCTCTTGTCCCAAACTCCATTCACTTCACAGCAGTGACATTTTAACTCGGGAAATTGTATCAGTAACACACTCATCCTAAATAAGGATGGAAAACTAGAGAGGGTTTTAGGCAGGGGAGTGACAAGGTTATATTTCTACTTAAGATGATCCCAGTGGCCATTGATGCGAGGGGCAAGAGAAGCAGGGAGCCAGCGAGGAGAGGGGGACAGTGTGCAGATGAGAGGGGGTGGGCCGGACGTAGGCTGAAGCTGTGGGGACGGTTGGATGGCTGTTCGTCACCCTGCAGCCAACTGGGTCAGCTCTGTTATTATGTGGAGCACACTGCTGTCCTGGACAGAGCTCTCAGCCTTCTTGAGGTAATAGCTATATATATAAAAGCCTAATATGCAAATTGTCCCTGTGGGAGTTTGACCAGGAGACTGATCACTCACTATGATGTGTGCTGACCACCAGGGGTCAGCAGTAGGCAGCTGGCAGCTGGTGAAGGGAGGCCCTGCTGACCACCAGGGGTCAGTGTGGAACGAAGGAAGTCCCCAGTAGGCAGCTGGCAGCTGGTGAAGGGAGGCCCCAGTCAGCAGCTGGAAGGCCCCGATCGGCCCTGATCGCTGGCCAGGCCTAGGGACCCTACCCATGCACGAATTCCATGCACTGGGCCTCTCGTATTATCATAGTCATGCAGAAATGGAGGCTGGGCCATGGACAGGGACAGAGAGGGTTATTGTCTGTGCTGGTGAGGAGCCTTCCAGCGCTAGTTCTGCCAGTTCCCTGAGATGCTGGGCAAGCTGCTTAACCTCCCGGTGTTCTCCACACAGGGCCAGGGTTGTGCTGTATGGGGGCACATTAAGCAGGTGATGCTTGAGAAGTATAAGCATGAGGCATGGCAGGAAGTAGATGCCCAATAAAAGCTGCCTTATGATAAAACCAGAGGCCTGGTGCACTGGGGGGTCCCTCAGCCTGGCCCGAGCCCTTTCACAGTCCGGGACCCCTCGGGGGATGTCTGGCAGGCAGACATCCCTGAAGGGGTCCTTAGCACTGCTGTGGAGGCAGAAGAGGCTCCAGCCACTGCCACTGCACTTACCAGCCATGAGCCTGGCTTCTGGCTGAGCAGCGCCCCCCTGTGGGAACACTGTTTTGCATTGAGCGTCTGCCCCCTGGTGGTCAGTGTGCATCATAGCAACCGATCATTCTGCTGTTGGTCAATTTGCATATTAGAGCTTTATTATATAGGATATCTCCCTGTACAAAGGAAAGCATAGCATTACTTGTAGTAAACAATAGCTAGATGTGTGAAAGGAGAGCTCCTTGGGCATATGTACATAGATGAAATAAAAGATCAAATAAAGTGCATGAAGAATTTTATATTTTTAGTAACAACTGCCAGGTTGAAACAGTCTCATAATTTCTGAAATTATACTGGCAGCTACTACTCATTTTTTCTTCCCCCCTTAACTTAAATCCACATAAAGAGATTAGAAATGATGAACGCTGCTGCTACATCTAAAGCGTTTATACTTTTAGTTGATGAGAATGGAAGTAGGAAAATGAGTTCTCTGGTTCCCATAGAATGTAACTCACATGGAATCACTAACTTTTCTTCAGAATAAAACCCTAGGCACTGCTGAGAGAAATTGTGCTTGCCTTCTGTATTATGCCAAGCACTTTGCAGGAATTCATTGCACCAACACAGAGGGGTTAAGAGCTTGACTGTGGAGCCAGGCTGCCTAGGTTTGAGTGTGACTTTGGGCAAGTCACTAGACTTATCTCTGCCTTAGTTTTCTCACCTGTACAATGGGGATAATAACAGCGGTACCTACTTCAAAGGCTGCCATGAGGATTAAAGTAGCTAGTGAGAGATAAAGTACTTAGAACAATAACTGGCACAACACAAACACTTATTATTTGCTATTAATCCTACTTTTCAGTTTAGGAAACTGACGTTCAGAAAGTTCAAGCACCTTCCCTAGGGCCCCAGCGGTGAATGGCAGCAGCAGAATTTAATCTAGAACCGGAACAGCCTGGTTCTAGGGCACCCTCTTCCCTACCATCTCCTCCTGGTCTAGAGGACAAGCTTGGTTTCTTTCTTGAAATAAGACCAGGAATAGTTATTTCAGCTGGAGAGAGAGAGAGAGAGAGAGAGAGAGAGAGAGAAAGAGAGAGAGACAGAGAGAGAGAGAGAGGACTTCTGGTGAATGGCTCTGGGTGGGCGAGCCGAGTGGGTCAGAGAAGATGCGGCAGCCCTCCTGTGGAAAGTGGCGGGTGATCTGTGTGGAGGGGGCTTCCCCTCGGAGGTTTTCCTCAGAATCCATCGCTAAGGTGGCACCTGCCTGAAGGTGTCAAAACGGAGAAAACTGAGGGCTGCAACGTCCTGCTTCTGGCTGGTGGGCTCCTGCACTGTGCTCTCTCAGGGTGAGGCGTGCTCATAAACAGAAGGGGAAGCGCCTGGGGCAGATGAAGCCTGTCATTGCAGACGCACAGGTGCCCCTGGCCCTCACCCTACGGACAGCTGTCTGTGTGGGCATTGGTGGCCCCCGACTCTCTCTCCAGGCCACATGGATATGTGGAAAGCTG